GCTGCATAAGAGAGAGTCTGCCCATGGGGGGGTTGACTGCAGTTTTCTTGAATAAGCAGAAACAAATGAAAGAAAGAAAAATGATGAGTTGCATTGTAAATATTGCTGCACAAACAAACCAAATTGATGAAGTTGCAGTTTTGTCTCAAGCCTTGTCGCTGCTAAAGCACACACAGTGCACCACAGAGCTGAAGTCACATTGGTGCTTTCAGCTATGATAAAGTCCTTAGGATGCCTGATGTCTCTAACTGGTATCCAGTTTGCTGCTGATGGCTGGTATGATTTACAGTGCGGAGGTAAGGTGATCCAAAATCAAAGTCTGTGAGTGACACTTATAACTGAACTGTTACTTGATTAAACTGAATTTCACAAATATTATAGCAGGTTAAATAGGTACATTCGACAAATATCCAAAAGAGAAGTAGTCACCATAACAATATAAATAACAGCCTTATCAAGAACAACAAAATTAAAATACTGCTTTTCATCACCTGGTTTTCATGCAGTATCATGCTTCTAAGCTTCCTTATCAGGTTTACTTTCTGGTTTTTGGCCATAGACACACTTAATGAGGCCCTTTAAGAACATACTGAGTTTTAAAAAGGACATGGCAAATAAACGGCATTTATGTTTTATCATGTTCCAATTAAATAATGAGGAAAATTGAATTTATCCTTTATATACTGATTAATGAAGAGTGCCGTGCTGATTAATGAAGAGTACTTTATAAAGACAGAAAATTAATTTTAACATAATTTAGAAATTTAAAGAATTGTAGGCCTGGAATGAATCACAAAACTCATCACATCAATTGTCCCAACCAAAGAAAGTGTGAAATTTTACCTCCACAACATCATCTTTGAGTCACAGCTTGTTTGGGGTCCAGTATAATCTAGCTGTTACCTCAACTGTCATTTCTTAGCCTGTGCTTCATTCAGGTAATTACTCATACACAAGTGTGAGCAGGTCTTTGAAAAGTAAAAATTTGCCTAAAGTTCAATGACAAGGACAAAGGTGGCTCTCTGAATTTAAACTCTATTCCCAAAAAGTTTGTGACTTGCTATCATATATTGATGTAACAATTAAACCCCGCTTCTATCAGAGGCTTATCTGTAATAAAAATATGGAGCAGCATCAGAGGCAGATTTTGCCTGGAATGCATTCCGAACATCTTCTGCCTTTGTAAGTGAATCCCTGCTACATTTCAAGTGTAGCTATACCAGTTATTCATATCTCTTGTATTTGTTACACTTAAAACATGTCATCCTAGCTCAATTTTGAAAATGTCATGTGAAATAGTGTCAGAAGTCATCCAAAAGTCAAGATGACTTCTGACAACTAATGTTTTTCTCCCAGTAAGCTTTGTTATCTTGTCAAAAAAAAAAAAAAAAAAAGTTGTTATGACATGATTTGTTCTGAACAGCCATGCTGGCTGGTATTTATCTCCTTGTTATCATCAAGACGCTTAATGCTTTTTGATTATTTCTTCAATTTTTCAGTTTATATTGTCTGCTTCAAAATTTCATGTTTCTTCTTTTTAAAAATGGTACCATATTTTCACTATCTTTCACAAATCCTTACAGGAAAAGTCTGAAATTATTTCACTTGGCTCTCTACCTAAGATTAAATTCATGGAGCTCAGCTACTTTGGAATCATTTAAATATAGATTTATCTCTGCTCTCTCTAGGCTAATCCATGTTCTTAAGCCATTATTACTAATGCTAATGGTGTTAGCACAACTCAGCATCCTAGCGAACACTAACCCAAAGATGACTTTAAGCAATTTGGGTTTCTGATTCTTCATAACAGTTCATTGATAATTTTGGAAGTAGTGGAAAACTAATTCCTTGGTCATTATAGGGCTAATGCACTTTTGAAAACTTCTATTATTCAATATTCAGATTTTGTTTGTCCAAACTTGTACACATTTTATAGATGACAAATATTTCTCCACCTTCTACATTCTTCCTTTCTGAGTAGGTTCACATGAACCTTGACTTCTCTTAATGTGCTGTTCTCGACACATTAACCCATACCACATAGAACAAGATATGACAGGTAGACATATTCATACCAGCACATTTACAGCGAGCTTGCCTATCTCTGTATTACAGTCCAAAGCATCCCCTATTATAATTCAACATAAAAGCATCAGACTCAAGGATATTTTCACTGACTTCCTTTAAGATACTTTAATCTCTGTCTTCTTTAGTTTGCTGATCCCCAGTACTATATTCTGAAGGTCAATATTTGAGTTCTCCGCAGTGACAGTCATACACTAAGGAAAGTATAGAAATATTTTATCTTATATATAGATATATTATATAAGATATAAATATTTACCTTTGAATTTAATTTTTCCCTTCCATAATATACTATAGCTACCATTTTTAATCAGCTGCTGAAGATAAACTAGCAATTATAATAATAACATTATTAAAGTTAATGGAGCACTTTTTTTGCTTCCAGTATTTTTCAGTCTTGGAAGACCTCTGTCTTTGAAATAATTAATTATGTTAGTGGTATTTCTGCTGTAGTTAAAGGTCACTCTACAAAACATGTGAAAAAAGTACCCAGGACCGAAGGAAATTATTAGACCCTAAGTCCCTTTGTAAATATTTGCAGCTTACAAAATTTGCTCTACCCACAAATACATACACACTATGGGAAATTATTTATTTCGGGAAACTAGTACTATGCATTTGCAATAGAGATCGTTGAGTATTATTTATTTGATTTCTGCAAACATCAAGGGTAGGTGCAGTGTAATACATACTTAAATACAGTACTTAGAGTGGATATAATGAATCTGAAAAATATTTTTGAAAAAATAATTTTCTGAAATATGTTAAACAAAACTTAAGAGGTAAATAGCAAAAGAAGGATGTTACAGAGTATGAATTTGGCATAAAGTAGCTGATGCAAAACTAATGAGCATATAATCCAATTTTGCAGCTTCTTCATTTTCAATGAAGCATTGAAGGAAAACAAATAAAAAAGTATAGTCATTAAACTCACTGAGACAAATTAATTTTTGTAAGCTGTAAAGTACAAAGGATACACATTATAGGTGAACTTGATTTGCCCCTTTTTCTTTAAAAAAAAAAAAAGCATTTGAAATTGTAATAAAGAGTTTCAAAAGAAAGCTAGACAGTTTATTGCACTATTTGGTATATCTTAATGTGTTTGCAATTAGTAGTATAATCTGAGATTGCCCAGACACACACACACGTGCACATACAGTGCACACGTGCAGTGCATCCAAGGATTTCAGATGCATCAGGTCTGCTGTTTTTCAGGTGACACGTACATACACCTCAGGGCTGACATCATACCTCAGTTATACCAGAAAAAAACGTGTCTCTGCAGACTGTAAATGATCTTACAGATCCAGCGAGTCTGGCAGGGCCAGGCCTGAGAGAATATGTTGAACTCTGGTGCATCTGAAAGACAACAAATACACTGGGGATCTGAGGGGGTTTGACATACCAGTGCCCAAGAGGTGCCATATTCCAAATGGGCTGTGGGATGTCTATAAATGCAGTACAGAAATCCAGAAAACTTCGTATTGGTAGATTTTCAGATAGAAGAAAGAGATATGTCTGGAAAAACCCGGCCACACAATAGCCATACCAACCGAGATTTTGTTCTATACCATTCTGAAAAGCTCTGTTGTACAGTAACTTTCTTGTATTGCAGAGGGGACAGAAAACTCTACCGTGCCTCAATTCAATATTACTTTATAATTTGATTTCTAATTATTTCCCTTGAATTCTGATTAGCTATTTAATGAGGTATGATCTTTGAAAATGTATGATCTACCTTATCTCTACTTTCTGATAATATTACTGATTCAACCTGATATACCCATTTTTTATTTCTGTATTTTCTGAACTAGATGTTCAGTTGTGAACATAATCCAATATTCTGCTAAATTTAATACGTAAATTTCATGAAGAGATTTTATCTCTCCTAATAATTTATGAATATGTATTAACAGTATCAAAGACAATCAGTAAATTTAATCAAGCAGCTACCATTATTTCCTAGCTGGGCTTGGAAATTTAAGAAGTAGGTGCTTTACATTTTAATAATATATGATATTAAACTGAGAAAACATTTTTCAAAAAAAAAATTAATTAAAATAGTGGTGAAGATATGTGATATACATGTATATCAACAAATGCATTACTATTTTACTAAAAACAGATGAATATAAAAATAAATATTTTTCTAAGAAAATATCAAAAAGGTGTTTCAATCTGCAACATAATCCATATTAAAAGGCAGTAACGAATGACGTCTTAAAAAACAGTGTGGGTATTTATAAGTGGGACAGCTAACAGAATTCTGGAGTGGGAGGAATATATTTATAACGTGCATTTCCATGAAAAGGCAGAGAAATTAGTTTGTCTTTATTATTTGCATTCAGATTCTAAAGGCTATATAATGTACTGATTTCATCAGCTTTGAGTTTGGTAATTTGTCTAGAATTATATGGTCCTTGTCAAATTGTCTTCTGATTCATTCCTATTTAGTAATGTAATTTAATGTGTAGAGTATGAAGAGAAACAGAAATACGACCTAAAGACACGTGATATCCAAAATTCCATACCACAAGATATTTTAGCTATTAGTATCACAGGAAAATAGGTTTGGTTTTTACGTATTCTGTTTGTGAATTATCAGGAGGCTGCATTTATCCCATCAATGCTCAGCAAACAGTGCATCATTGACACAAAACTGCTAGGAACTGGAAAACTCCATAGCACCACCTACTACAGGTAACTGTAGTAAACTACAGTTTATGTGCAGCCTTATAAATGAAAACTTGCAGATACCAAACAGAAAAAAAATGGAAGAAAGCATAGTAAGACCAGGATCGTAAGAGCTTTGTTATTTTAAACATTTCTGTACTGCCATTTGAACAAAAATTACAGGAAGAACGTAATCAGCATTTATAATGCTACACTCATCACGCTGCCTCTTTCCCTTGCAGGCTGTCAACGACCAGCAGCTCACTGTTTGGAATGAACACCAATGGCTCAGATGAGTATTTCCAGTCTACAAACCACGCAGAGCAAACTTTCCGCAAAATGGAAAATTATCTGCAGCAGAAGCAGCTGTGTGATGTTCTTCTTATAGTTGGAGACCAAAAGATTCCAGCTCACAGGTACATTTCCCAGTACTGTTTACATGGCTTCAAAGCCTGAAATTTCTGAATGCTAGGTCAATTTATGCCTACCCTGTTTAATTATGAATGCACGGTTACTGTAATTAGGGCATCAACTAGCAATGGAATAAAATGATGTGATCAATGTTTCATATTCGTTATTTCAAATAGAATGAAATTCAAATATGAACCATTGATATTGTCCATCGTCCCTTCTTGCTGCTGTCAAACTGTAGCAAGATCAGTGAAGAAAATCTGCCCAAACAAGAACTATGGGAGAAATTTAGATTACTAATTACCCTTTTAACTTTATTGCTCACTGCTATAAGATTTGAATCCTATGCTAAAGATAATGTTTCTATTCCACACGCAATTTATTATATAATAATAATGGATTTTATGCTTGCTATTGAGATTATGAAGTAATTTGCAGTCCTAAAATGCTTTTATTTTCAAGGTTGGTTCTCAGTGCAGTGTCTGATTATTTTGCTGCAATGTTTACTAATGATGTGCGTGAAGCAAAACAAGAGGAGATCAAGATGGAGGGCGTAGACCCTGATGCGCTGAAAGCTTTGGTGCGCTATGCCTACACAGGTAATTCTTCCTCCATTACCCACATCATTGTTGTAAAGGAAGATAAAATCTATTCAATGCATACATAATTGTCGCTTTTTCCATTTCATACTAGTACATAAGTACATGCCCACATGATTTAAAACTTTCTCTAGAGAGGATGAATAAATGTTAGTGTTTTATATAATAACTTATTCTAGAAGATATGCAGAAAATTTAACACATATATTCATATTAGACATCTGTCTCTAACTGGATACAAATTATTTCAAGAATTTTAAAGAGAGAAGAACATATTTTGCCTGTTGCCCACCTCATGCAGTGACACAGAAGAGTGTACTATGAGCCTTCCTCTCATGGGTAGCTATAGAACTAGTCTGCCTGGGTGGCAGTTATTTGGCTCACTCAAGGTTCTTGAGTAGGAATAACTGGAGGAAAACAGGAATACGATCACACCCACAAGCAGAGCAACTTTTACTACAAGAAAGTGCCATCACATTCTGAAAAAGGTTTACTTATGTTCTCTTGAAAAATTAAAGAGATTTTATCTTAATGAAATTAAATATTTTATTTTAATACCAGAATGCTGTATATATGTTTTTTCCCTAATTCCTTTTCTCCCATTTTCAACACTTACCCCTGTACTGCTGAATCTGAAACGGTTGAACCAAATAGCCAAAAAGACCAAGTCAGAGAACTGTGAAACCCCTTTCATCTGCTCTATAGTGAACAGTGGAAAATGCTGTAGAACATGACCACTATGTTAGTATATATTACAATTAGAAATATCCAGATCATTCAAACCTATGCAGATTCTGGAAGTCTGCATATTCTGGTATTTGGCAAGTCTCTCTATGCAGATGACAACCACTCCAGCCAGAAAGGTAAAAGGGAAACCTGTGCAGTTCTGTGGCAAAAAAAATGCCCAAGTCTCAAAAGGAGAAAATTATCCCCCTAGGAAGTTACAATATTTAACTGACCAGAATAACAACTTTATGAATTTATGAACATTTACTCCTAAACTGATCGATCCCCTCAGCCAACTGCTATTATCAATAACATTCACTAGATCGTTGTCATCTGATGTCCCGAACAGGACATTGCTTGCTTGTTTGCTTTTGAATGAAAGAATACCATTTCAATACTAAGATGGGGAGGTTGGAAGCTGTATCACAGGTATCTACTGATATTTTTACAGTACTTTAAAAGGGCTTAAAATAATTAAAAAAACCCAACAAACACAAAGTAAAACAAAGACCCCCATTATATTCACCATATTGGCATTAGCATAAACGTTAAAAACAGGAGACTTCTTCACTTGCTAGGTAAGGCACTTCATAAATCTGGACTGTTGCATAAAGAGAGAAGTCTTGAGAAGGTTAAGCAATCTGCAAACCAGATCAGAAATGTAAGTTTCTATACACAAAATAGACCCTGTTTGTGAGTACAACCAAGGGGATAAATACAGGGGACGAGAGGGAATGCTGCATAACAGCTATAATGCAGTGATATTGTGGCACTGAATTAGCATACATTACCCGAGGAAATAGATTAGTACAAGCACAAAGAAGCTGGGCAGTGGGCTGCTTATTATCCACATGTATCTCAAAATCATCCCACTTGATTAAATTTCATTTCTCTCAGTTTACTTAATGCAAAACCATATGAAAGAACATATATAAGACTCCAAAAGCAAATGCCAGACTATGAACTAGTGTAAGTTTGCTTCTGAAATCAGGATTGACCCTTTGCTTTGAGGCATTATATTGCAGTCTTTATTTACAAGAACATGTACCAGTTTTGCTATATACATTCAGTAACTATTCTGAGTTGTATAGTAAGAATCAAACCCAAACATTGCCCTTATTCTGCATCCTGCCAGCCCTTCCTCATTTCTTGCAGAAGTTGGAAGGTCTATTTAAGTTACAAAGCAAGGGACATCGGAAAGAGATGGGGTTGTGCTAAGGTAAGACTGCTGAAGACTGCTATGGAAAACTGAATTTTCCTACTGTCTCTGCCATAGGTTTTCATGCGATAATAACCAAGCCTCTAAACTGAGTGCTACTTTTTTCCTAGGTAATGAAATATAAATGTGACTTTCAGAGACGAAAGCTATAACTTTCGGAATTGTTTACATGTTCTCCTGAAATAAATCAGAAGTGAACTTTGGACAAGAAACCTCTTACAGTTCTACTCTGATGATAATTTTGATTGTAATCTCTCAATACCACCCTTCTCCATGTGTCAAATGGAGATTGTGTGTATCATCCTTTCACAGAAGAAGTTGGAAAAGAAATTACTGTTTCTGAGGCAATTGGATGTTGTAATGATAAATGGAAAACGCAGTCATAAAAAACTCCCTACAGTTTCAGAATAGGATTTTAGTGCTGTGTGTCAGCTACGGAATTGAGCCGTCCACTGAACAACAAGAGTGGAAGATCTTATTAAATTAACATCTTTCAGTCTATCTATGAACATAACGGAATTGCCACGTCATGTAATAACTTCCTTAAAAATTTAAATGCAGAAGTAGATGATGGAAGAAATCAGGTTTCCTGCACACACTGCTGGCATTTCCTAGCTTTTGATACTGAAGTTCTTGTGTACAATATAAACTTATGATATATATATTTTTATGAATTAATACATGAATTTTAGGAAAGGTTTTTCTCTAATCACACCTTGCTTTTTATTTTACTTTTTTTTCAGGCAAAATCAGATCTAATACTGTTAAAGCTTCAATAAAAATGTTCCAATCATTGTATTCAAAATCTACCAAATCCTTTAAGTCTGTTAAAACATATGTTTAAAGAATCCTTCAGCAAGAAAGGACAATGAATTTGTGAATCACAGGACACTACTTTTCAAAGTTTTTCAGAGGAGGAGAAAAACTGGGGAGTGGGAAGCTTTCAAATAATAAAAATACAAAGAAAATGACTGAAAACTTTTTTGTTCCCCTATATGCAAACTGCACAGGTATTCTAGAATTAAAGGAAGACACTATAGAAAGCTTGCTAGCTGCAGCTTGTCTTCTCCAGCTATCCCAGGTTATTGAGGTATGCTGCAACTTCCTCATGAAGCAGCTCCATCCTTCCAACTGCCTGGGGATTCGCTCTTTCGGAGATGCTCAGGGCTGCACAGAGCTCCTGAAGGTGGCACATACATACACTATGGTAAGATGAACAATCTAACTGCTTTGCAATTATAATATTAACAGTAAGTGTGAATACTCTCTTGGAAAACATATGGGCTTTGGTGAAGCAGAGCCAGCTGAGCAGGGCTCAGGGCTGCTGCTCTCTCCAGGACTGATGCCATGGCTCTGCCCTTCCTCTGCTGGCAGGGTCAGTTCTGTGAAGTCCCTGGTGCAGGGACATCTCTGCCCAGCTCAGTCTCCAAAGGGAAATTTAAGAACTGTGACCGTTACAGAAGTATTGGAAGGAGAGAAAAGCATGCTTAGAAAAAGAAATATTCAGTTCTATTTTCTCCCATTTCAGAGTTTTGCCTTGTAGAAGGATATACTTATTGAACTTAAATTTGCAGTATGATTGGTACGTATTTCTTCCAAAAAATGTAATAGGGCCTTAACATGGATAATGTCAAGAGGCAAACAGCAATAGCCCATTCTTATGCTTTTGATTCAACACAAAGAAAATTCTAAAGCTGATTTTAAGGTGAGACACACATAAAAAGAGCCAAAATAAAGAAAGTATTGGAACGATTTGGAATGCTAAAAAGCAGCACATCCCTGACTGGAGCATAATCCTCCTCTGGCTCAAAGCAAGAAATGAATATTCAGAGCGTGGGAAACAGAGAAGCAAGATAGCTTGCTGTGAAACCAAATCAAGGGATAAATATTCAGGGCAACAAGATGTGCTATAGCAACTTTAAACACAAAAAGAATAGCAACTGCTACAGCTAAATAGATATAAAAAGAACTACTTGTTAGGAGACATGTAGCAGCTTTATGCTTGAAATATTAGCGTAGTATGTCAAAACCAGTTTAGAGGTTTCATAATGCTGAGAGCATTCCAGCAAGAGATTGTACACTTCCACGTGCTGAAATAAATGAGAGTGGCATGTGCAGATTGAGGGCACTGGTTGTGCTCCTTCCTGTCACACTAATGAATGGTTTGTTTAGCAGCAATCTAAATTCCTTTTATATTTTAAGGTTTGAAAAAGGGCATTTAAGATAGAGGTTCCCTCAGCTGCTATATAATAGTGTTGTCCTTGCTGCTCCACACCATTTACTTGGCGAAAATCAGGAATTGCCCCACTCTGTTGTTGCCTCTTTTCTCCCACCAGCCCCAGCACATGGGTATCACCTTTAAGCATTTAAAATTCATGGTCCAGATTTCTGCAAAAATGAAATAAAATCATATGGTTAGACATAGGATTTTATAATGTCAGACAATAAGAGAGCCTTTTCTGTGCAGATTTTTTTAACCATTTGAACCCTCCAGTCTTCCCCAGGAGTTATACTATTTTTTGAAGCTGTGAGTCACAGAAACGGCAGTTGGCTCTTTAAGAACACTGTCTAATGTGAAGAACCGTGATGAATCTATGAGACTGAGCAGTATTGTGTATATTGGCTTTACCCTATGTCTTCCTGAAAACAATCACAAGCATTTCCACCTCTAGAACCACCTCCTGTATCTTGCGTGCAATACAGATTGAGAGTGCTGCCATGAAAGAGGACCTTGCATGTCATAAAACCACCTACCAAGTTTGCAGCTACTGACAATTTAGGGACAAAAAAGGAAATCTGCACCCCTTTGAAATAACCTTAAGGGAAATTTGCTTTTAAACCCTTGAAGTGATATTAAAAACTCTGGAGAATAAGAGATCATAACAGTGTGTACAAACACAGATGTTGTGGAAAAGGATAAATAAAACATTCTGTTTTGTTTTATGCCAACTTCAACCACCTGAAAAACTGTACCTTAGGGGAAAGACTATAAAGTTGTACTGTGAATATAGAGACCATTCAAATGAGCTAATAGTATTTAAATATTTTCAGAAAAGAATCAGCTATAAACACTACATCCATTCGATAAAACCAGACACAATAGAGACCTCTCCCTTCGATTACTTTACCCATTGATGCAAAGTATTAACAGTTTCCTGCCTGGTATCTTTTTGTGCAGATAGAGCTTGTTCTGATAAACATCTTGTGCTATATTTGTAACTAAATGTGGACTGGCCTTCCTGTTCCTATTCTCCGAATGTCACAAAATATTAAAGCAGGATATGCATTACAGAGCAAAGTTAACATCTCCTTTAATCACTGATACTTCTATATTTGCATCCTTGGTACTCTTTTCAAAAGAGTTGCAGAAAGCTAAGAAACTACTGAAAACAAATAATACAAATATCAGTTACTAAAATTTCTTCATCTGCCCTATTTCAGTCTGGTTCCCAAATAAGATATATTACTTCCAGGTACATAAATGGAAATCAATATTTCAAATGCAGACATGAATTCCTACATGCATTTCTTTGCAAGTAACGTGAAAACCCCATCTCTCTTAACAAAATTTCTTTTTTCCTTTGGAATTAGCACAAGCAAACTTACTTAATGTATGTTTATATCAATTCTAATATTGTTGTAACTGGACTGTACAATATATTATTTTTATGAAGAATAATCCTTTGAAAAATTCTAAGGATTTAATATTCATGGCCATTTCTGGAGCTGGTGAGTTTAATCACAGCAATAGCTTAAAGACTGAGACCCCTTTGTTGGGACCTGTCCAATTTTCTACTGCCCAAAAAGTAGTGTTAGAAAAATGAGTTTAATTTCCTCTGCTATATTTTCTGCTACTAAAAGCAGAGACATACAGTCAAAGCCTGGCACAGCTCATTGCAAAAGGATTGGAAGGTTTCAATGGAATTTACTTAAAACTTTTGAATCTGATTGTAACGGAAGTTACACAGTTTATTTGAATGCCCACTTGGCTTTCTTAAGATACACATGATATCTTCAAATTGTGTTTCTGTTAAGCTGCAGTGTTAAGATCACATTGATGGACGAAACTCAGTGACAAATCCCTAAGACGGGACATACTGACAAGAAGCCTGACAAACACATCTGTAAGCATGGTAGCGTGAAGATGAGTATTATTCTTCAGTTCTGCAAGAGTAAGGCAGCAAAGAGCAACACAAATCTCCTTTAAATGGTAGAAGGAGATTCAGTCATCTTTAGAATATATATTGCATTTCTCTATACCCTAGAACAGAACAGGAATGAAATATATGCAAAGCCTACATTATCTAAGAAAATGTTATTTCAAGGTGTGAAAATCATCAGTGCATTGATATCTTTTTTTTTCTTTTTAGGAACACTTCACAGAAGTAATAAAAAACCAGGAATTTCTTTTGCTCCCTGCTAATGAAATTGCAAAGCTCTTGTCTAGCGATGACATCAACGTTCCAGATGAAGAAGCAATATTCCAGGCATTAATGATGTGGGTGAGGCATGATTTGCAAAACCGGCAACGAGACCTAGGAATGCTTCTTTCTTATATTAGACTGCCTCTACTTCCACCCCAGGTATGAATGTGAAAGGCTAACAGGGAACTTTACTAGCAACTGAAATACCTGCCTCAAGCATCATTTAGAGAAAAGAATTCTGCGGAAAGGGTCTGGTTTTGGCTGGGGTTTTTTGGTGTTTTTTTTTTTCCTTTTTTTTTAAACTGTATAGAAGATATTTTTATTATTTGTAAACACAGATGAAAAAAAAAATCCCACAATGCCAATGTAATTACTAGGCTCCAAATTATCTCTATAAATATATCAGTCAAGCGGTATTACAAAGGTACAGTGTTTCTTTGTTGGTTAGCAACAGTAGTAGTTTTCCTCTAATAACAGAGAAACTTGGATACCCTACAAAGATATTTATTTAGATTTACCAAACCGCAGGACAGATAAGGCACAATACTTATTTCTTTATTGCCATAAAAAGTAAACAAAACCAAAAGGGTCTAGATTATTGCTGTCTATTCTGACCATTGACGTTACTTGTCGTTTAAGACTGAAAGAGTCACTTCATTGAATAAGTTCCAGAGATGGACATACTGTTTTATAGTAAGCTGACACTATTGTATCTGTGTCATAGAAGTATCTGTATATCTCAATAGAAAAGCTTATAGGAATATCGGAACTGTCAGGACACTACAGCAACTTTATGGATCTCCATGATTGGAGCTGCAAATATAAAACTTTGGATTAAGTATCAAAATACTACATACATTTCATTTAAAAATATTTACTATATTTAAAATATATTTAATATATTCTAATACTCATAGAGATGTCAAGTACTATATGTTAGATTTGCTTATACTCACATCAAAAGGAGTTTTGCATTCAGAGGGTGCGGTACTAGATTCACAATTTTAACCTTCCGTAAAGGTTAAAAGAAAGTTTTCAGAAAAAATAAAGCAAAGACGACATAATATAAAGGTAGGACAAAAGGTCTTTAAGTGTTTTGCTTGCATTAAAGTAGAGTTTCCAGCAAACCTTGAGTGAGTAGAGAACTGAAAATGAGTGTTTGTAGCAACAAATTACTAAAGTACATACAATTTTTATGATTTAGATATATGTAAGTAAGTCCCTCGCTTTTCATTTCTTAGTTACTAGCCGATCTAGAAAATAGTCCCATGTTTGCAGACGACCTAGAGTGTCAGAAACTTCTTATGGAGGCTATGAAGTACCATCTTCTACCAGAAAGACGGTCCATGATGCAGAGTCCTCGAACTAAACCTAGAAAATCTACAGTGGGTGCGCTTTATGCTGTAGGAGGTATGGATGCCACTAAAGGTAAGTTCAGAAATTAATTTAATTCTATTAATTAATTATATTCCAGACACCCTGAGAATATATGACAATCATCTGAAGATTTCTGTTAGGAAAAGAGCAATTTAGGGATGAAAATGAGGAAAAAAAAAAAATCACAGAGCACAATCCTATGTGTTAGATGTTCTTTCTTATTGCAAGAATCATATGTTTGTAAATGATATACATACAGCTTGGAGTGCCGACTAAAGAAGTTTGATTCAGATGGTGATTTTAAAATTAAGTTTTGCAAGAATTTGTGTATATAGTTTGACTTTACAAATCAGAAGAAAAATTAATATTCAAAATACTTCAAGATTAGTTTAATGTTGTTTTAGAACCCTGTGCTCCATTTTTTGACAAAAGTTAGAAGGCTCAAAAAATTTTTAAAGAAGAGGAAAATAAAACCAAAAAGCATTGCTAAACTATGGAGAACTCTTAGCTAAAGCTTATCAATTCTTATTATAAAATTTCAGATGGAAAAATTTGTACTTTACCGTGAGTGCAACAGTAAGTGCAGCTTTTTTTCAGGACTTCATACACAGGTTTTTTGCAGCTTTGTAGTTGAAAGTTAAATGTTATAAATGTATTCCAGTTTTTATTATTTGATTTTTCACAACTGCAATCAGCTTACAGCTTTACACATTACACTATTCTCTTTAGTAGGGAGTATAATTAATCATTTTCTACAGGAACCTTAACTTCAAACCCACAGCTTGGAGCCAAAGAACTATAATTAAAGTCTAGCGACTTGCTGAACAGTAGAACTTTTAGCTGTGTGAGTTCACTTTTAACAGAACCACAAAGAAGCTAATCCATTTCATGGTTTGCAAAAAGTTGCTGATGACTGAGTTTTCCTATATGAGAGATCTTGCAGTGCTACCTTACTATCTCTATGCAATCAAATCAAGTGCAAAATACACATTCATCACCATCACAACATGAAAACACTCATTCTTAGGACAACTTAGCAAAATGAAGTTAAACTGTAGCAATTAGTATAGTTTCATGAGCGATACTGATAATTTATGAATTATATAAAACAACCGAGAATTCAAGGTAATTTTTAAACTAACTTCCATGAAACTAAGAATAAATTTTCTAATAAGTTTTTCTCAGTAAAGGTTATTCAAAGAAAGGGCTATTTCAGTCAACATCTGCACTTCCTGTTGGTGCCTCTTTTACTTATTACTTTGGAATAAAGCCAATTGTTTGAACTTTTGCCTTTTGATGGTTAAGAAGAACAGCACTTCCTCTCCTCCCTGCTGTCCTCTACAGCTCTGACTCATACTTTGAGCCTGTGCTGGATTGTAAAATAAAGGAAACAGCACCTAAGAAACTACGTTGCACTGGAAGAACAGCTCTGAGAAGGAGTAACTACCACCTCTGGCAATAATATGCTTTCTGTGATAAAGAAAACTCTCAGGGAATGCCAGGTTTGGCTTTGTGCTTATCTCAGGTGGTATATGAAGTAAAATCTCAACTTCAAATGTTCAGAAGATCAAAGAGCTACTTTTGGGCTGGTATTTTGAAAAATGTGAGTGTGCCTAAACCACACTAACTTTCAAAACCTACCTTCCAGCCTCTGTAAAAATTACAGCCTACAGGGTATGTATGAACACACTGTATACCTTAATGTATTTTTCCTGTTTTTTTAGCTAGCGTGAGATACTTCTTTTGAAACTGAGAACTTCGGGGCACTCACATATTAGCATAGAATAAATGAGAAGAAATCAAACCAAAGAAGAGCAAACAGGCTAACAAAATGGAAAGAACAGTCAAAGAAATCTAGTTGCTCAGAATAAAAGAAGACAGGAAAGGGGAAAAAGTAGAATTTCTTTCTTTTATTGCAGATGGATCTGGTAGTTTCTTTCCTGGTCTATGCACCTGGAAAAGCATGTAGAGGAGAGAAAAGATATCATGAGATAAGCTCTTATTTCACTAAATTTATCGAGTATAGTAGATGATCTCTAGCAGATCTCTAAACCAAATGCTGCTTTTCTTTTCTGCTTTATTGCATGGTTGTTTTGCTGTTGTAAATCATTCCTTAGCCACTAACTGCCTATTGTAATTCTCAAAATACTATTTCTCTAGTCTCAAATCCCAGTCAAAGAACAGGCAGGAAATCAGCTCTGTTTTTCTCATCTGGTTGCCTTCAGTTGAGCTGAAGCTGAGCTCCAGGGTGCACTGTATGCGCAACTGGCAATTGTCTCTTCTACCTTGGTTGTTACTCAGCCCTCTCCCCACTGTGCTGAATCAGGTCTCAAAGGAGCAATTACGGCTGCTGAGTGACTGACAGGAGCCAGTGCATGGAAAAGTGTCAGTTTTGAATGGCAGAGAGCTAGGGCCTTATGAATAGTTGCAGTAAAAACATTACTAGAAGTTCCGTGACCTGAAAAAATTGAAAATACAGCTTATATATTACAGCAGACAAGCAGTTATTGCAAGGCTGCTGCAAAGGCGAACCTCAGGGAAGCTACCTGTGGGAACCAAGTGTGTACTTACACACAACTCAGTCTTCTGCCTGTCTCCACCATAAAAAGGAAAATATCCAGACTATTCATGAAGATGCATGCCCAAATCCTAAGACAGACAGACATGTGGATATATTTTCCAGTTTTGATATCACTAATGGTTTAAGCAGAAACATGGTTAAAGAGTATATAGTTGTGATGTACCATGTTTATAAAGAGTACAAAAAAAGAAAAACCAAACCACAAAAAACCTACCCTCATGGTATTTAAATAAGTAACAGATTTAACTTCTCTCCAAAATGATCAATATTAAAAAAAATTGTGGCATTTAATTCTGCATTTTCTTGCCCCCTGTTTATTCTCATGGATTTGACAATCATATATGCGTGCAATTAATGCAGCTTTCTCACCAGGTGCAAATTTTGTAACTGAAATTCTCAAAGAGCCACAGTAAATTCCACACACAAAATTTCAATGTTTTAGAATTTAATAATATTTTGGTTTGTACCGACTACTGACTGCTGGGTACTCATCCGTTCATGGCTATCTCACAATACTTATGTTTTTAACAGGTACCACTACAATTGAAAAATATGACCTTAGGACTAACAGTTGGATACAAATTTGTACTATGAATGGTAGACGATTACAGTTTGGAGTTGCAGTAATTGACAACAAGCTCTATATTGTGGGAGGAAGAGATGGTCTGAAAACTTCTAACATTGTTGAATGTTTCAACCCTATCACCAAAGTTTGGACTATAATGCCTCCTATGTCAACACACAGACATGGCCTAGGTAAGAGGTGCTCTTTCTTTGTAAATACCTTGCATCACATACAAACGAATTTTGACTGATGCAAACACTGTTGACATAAATTTTAAAGCTTTTAATAACATAGCAATATTTGTAGAAGATGTTTTTCAAAGACAGAGTTGCCTATTGCCATAATTTTATGACATTCACAGTGAACAAATAATATGAATATGAAATCTAGAATTTATTTCTGGACCTATAAAAAAATAAGGATAAGTTTAAAGTTGAGGAGACTGTAAGGGAGGGAATATGGTGATTTCTGAATGATTTATAGATCACAGTTCTTGTGAAAAAGCTGGCTTCTCTTAAGTTTACAGAAACAGGTATTGCTTGAAATCATTGATAAGTTAAAATGGCATAGAATATTTTTATTTTAATTAATAATAGAAAAAGATTGATCCAGAATTATTTAGTAAACCTTTGTGGCCTGTATGACCTTTTCCACCTCTTGGTGGAGAACATATAGCGTAAGATTCTTACCGGCTAGTCTGTCAAATTTATAAAAGCAAATACTAGGAGGTAGCAAAGGGAAAGAAGACAAAACAGATTAAATAATCCTCATTGAAGTCTTTATAATTACCAACTGCCGGGGCATAATTCTGCCCAACAAGTAGGACACAGCGGTAAATTTGAGTACCCAAAGTTAGGCCTCTCTCTGTGCATCAGCCTGGTTTGCAAAGCTGCCTTACACTTACAGCTCCTATTAGCTTCAGGGTAATTTTGGGGAGAGTTAGCACTTTTGAAAAAATCAGGCCGTGTATATTTAGGCCTGAAAAGACAGATTTAGAAAACTTTTAAGCAGTCAGATTCAAACATTTTGCCTTAGCTAACAAAGGAAGCAAAGAGCAGCAGCTGCCCAAAGGGAAGGCACCAAAGGCCTTCTCTCTGGAGAAGGACAACCACGCAGGATATGTCCACACCAAGCTTTGCAGAAACAGCCACGTTTGCTCTCCTGTGCCCCAAGGACAACAGATACAGGCCATCTCTTATCAAAAGTGTGTTCCCCTTACAGGCATTAAAATGTTATGGTACTTCAGCTAGTAAGGACAGCCAGCTGCACACCCACTCAGGCTTCATGCTAGCAGGAGCACAGAGCTTCAGCTGGCTCAGAAGAAGGATAGGTTTGGGCATATTTTTCATTGCCTGGCTCAACCTTTACCTTTCTTTAAAAGAACAGCATTGTTTCTCATTTAGGGGCTCAAATTTGTCTCAACAAGGTCAACAGAAGTGGAAGAGATAGAAGTCCAAGAAGAGTGCATTAGAACTAAAGCAGCTTTCCTCTAATCTTTTGGCAAAAGATAATGCTTATTCAGAAAAGCACTATATATGATGTATTTTGTTTATCTTTGTTCGTTCTACCAAATGACAAGGCAGCTTTTAGATAGTTTAATACCAGCTGAAATTGCTTATCTGCATTCAGGGAATTAAAGTATGAAGTTAAATACAGTATTGGTCACTGAACTTATTAGATGCTCTAATTTGTTCCTAATTCTATCTTATAAGGAGTAGCAATGCTTGAAGGACCAATGTATGCTGTTGGTGGCCATGATGGATGGAGTTACCTTAATACCGTAGAAAGATGGGACCCACAAGCACGGCAATGGAATTACGTTGCTAGCATGTCAACCCCTAGAAGCACCGTAGGGGTTGCAGCATTAAATAGCAAGTATGTCAACAGGAAAAACTCTCTTTGGTTTTTCATTTGCTTCCTTCCTTGGAAATACAGTTTCTTAAATTCTCTTTTCAATCTTACAGTAACTAATCACCTCGAGAAAACAAAAAGAAAATATAATGCACAAAAATAAGAAAGGAAACCTCCTCTGTTGTGTGGTAAATTGTTTTCAAACTTGTAGTCATGTTTTAAACATATTTCAGCCCTTTCCAGTTACAGCAATTTGAAAATGTTATTACATGCATATCAGAATTTTGCCTGGAATATAACTTATGGGAATATAAGATCAGCTACTTTAAAAAAATATTCCAAGTTTATGTTTACATTTTAAAATTACTATGTCTAAGGAAGCATTATTTGAAAGAACGTGTACAGAAACAGTCATTCATCTGTCTTTTTACATCTCCTGCATGCATCTACAATTTTAAAATGCAATTCACAATCAAGAATAATTTTTAAAAGTTTAAAGGTATATGGTGTGTTCAATGAAAGAAAGACAAGTTTAGTAATTAGGTATGGAATAAACAGCCTTCTGTAAGACTTATCCTACCCAAATTTATTCTGTCCTTCATCTATTGCTTAAATACACTGAGGTCATGTGTTCACTGTACATTGGTTTTCCCAACAAGGTTTTCAAAACTTATTTAAACATCCTCCTAAGACACTAAAGCCACTCAAGCACTTTTACATGGGAACAGATGCATGCATAAATCTACTGTGTAACCTATAATGAACACCTTCTTGTATGTTGGAAACTGTGGCTTAAGCCAGCCTTCCTTCTTATTTAAATCTGTGGAGAGCTCTTAGCAATGACAGTTTGTAGGGGCCAGGAGTATTACAGTGGCAGGCAGACAACTGCATTTATCCTGAAAATTTATCACTGGCTTCCCTGTTGACTTCTTAAATTCCAGAGGAAGAGAAGGATAAAGAGCAGAAACAAAGATGTCAGCAAACAGGTATTTGCCAATGCAAAACTTCTTCACACACAAGTCAGGGTTTTGCATTCAAACATGACATGATTTTAATCACTAACTCAAAAGTCCAAGAGAGGCAGAACTGCCCATTCAAGTCCCTGTTGTATCTCAGAGGAAATGTTCTCAGCATGAACTTCACCAGAAACTCCTGTTGGTACCTTCCACAGCAATATGCAGGAAACCACTTTGTCAAAGAGGAAATCCAGCCTGATCCTGACTCTGTTCTCAGTCACTCCTGATACAAGCTGTCTCCAGCCTGGCTTAAATCACGTCTGTTAGTCTAGTGATGTAATTTCTGGCATACCAGGGGAAGCTGAGATCAAATGTCCATCATTCAGTGCTACTGCTGCGGTCTAACAAGCAGAATGCTTCTCCTTTTCCTGTTTTCCTAAGTCACACCATATTTTTTTTCTATTCAACCTCACCAGAAAAGACTTTAAGTTCTGTGGAGCAAGACTTTTTGACCAATAAATGGTCTATTGAAAACATCAATCAATAATGGTATACTTGTTCTTTTCCTTAGAGAATGCGAAACACTACCATGTTTCTAGACACGTTTCAGAAAATAAAAAAATCCCAACCAATCTGTTTGTATATACAGTGATTTCCTCTCTCTGTGAAAGCTGTGTAAACAAGTAGTCTGTATCTAATGCCATGATGTGAAAAGAAAACAAATCAAATCCTCAAGTTTTTTATGGGTCGAGCAACAAACTGCACAACCGAACTCAAGTCTGTCTTCCATTCACAAACATTAGAAGAGAGCGCTAGAAATTTTGTATTATTCTAACAGTGGTCAAGAATTTTTTAGTTAAATTATACATCAGAGCGGTCTAAAAATTTTTCCAGTCACTGGAGAAAAACAGGCACTTCTCAAGCAAAATTCAACTGATCTGTTTTAGGTGACTTACTCCGGACAAGTCCACACGTTGCCGAGGTCTCTAATTAGTTGCACTGCATAAATTCAATTTCGTGGCAGTAAGTAATAGCCAGGATTTGAAAGGGACCTGAACAGTTGGCACACTCAACATCTAAACACGTCTGCTATTATATCCAGTATGCCTACTATCATAGCCTAGCAGCATCCAAGTTAGCTTGAAATACAAAAGAACTTCAGGCTTTGTACAATTCATTGACACAAAGCCCCCCCCCCACCCCCCCCCGCTTCTTAATGTCCACCATTTATTCTTACATGTCTCAACATCAGCTGGTTTAAATCTCCACTTGTTTGCTAAGTGCCTTTAGGCTGGACAGACAAGATGACATACCTGAATGGTAACTTCTGTCCAGCAGACTTTCTTAAATACAACCATTGAGGAAAATATATTTATTATCTTTTTTTGACATATGCTTTTGGTATATAATGATATTATTGAAGTTCTTTTACATATTAACCATATAGGAAAAATGTTTAAAGTAATACTAAGATGTCAAATACTCCATAAGCCTGTCATAGGGAATACTACCCATATGTTTCAAACATACATAGCATCTTTCAATCAAATTCAATCTATAGCTCACATTTCAAGAAGCTGACATGCATTTTTAAGATTAATTTTCATATGTGACTGCTTGAAAATTTACATTGCAAATGAAGAATGTAACTTCCTTCATGTACCATGCAAAACCCTTTGTGCAAAGAAAGTTCCAGAGCGTAGCTGTCAGATGGGCATAATGATAATTTTACAGTGGTCTGAATGAAGTTAACCAAATAAAGTTCCTATTAAAATGAGAGGCTAAAGACTGAAATTGTTTGCCTTCTTGTGGGTGATTATCCCAGACTGTATGCTGTTGGTGGACGAGATGGGAGCTCCTGCTTAAAATCAATGGAATGTTTTGATCCGCACACAAACAAGTGGAGTATATGTGCTTCGATGTCCAAGAGAAGAGGGGGCGTTGGTGTCGCAACGTACAATGGATTTTTATATGCTGTGGGAGGTCATGATGCACCTGCTTCCAACCACTGCTCTCGACTTTCCGACTGTGTGGAAAGGTAAGGAATTTTTTTTTTTTTTTTTTTTTACATTCCAGGAAGGAAATACAAAATAATTTGTATCAGCAATGGAAATTTCTTCACAATTGGAATGTTATGTTTGTAAAACATATTATGCTTTTAAAAATAATATTTTGAGCAGAATAACTGATTTCCAATGCTCTTGTGATAACAAAATAATTAACCCTCAGAAGCAAATTCCTCGCAGATCTCCCCTCTATTTGAGCTGCCCAGGAGCCAGGTAAAGACTCCTTAACAAGCAAGACAAATTCAGCATGTGACCTTTCTATTTCTCAAGTTCCAAAACCCAGGTTTGGGCTACTTGTGTCATATATTGTAGGAACTAAATACTTTTTAGTTGTGTCTTCCTTCAATAATTAGACTGATATTGACCAAAAGGTTAAAAATATAATAAATATCACATACTCAAACAGGCAGTAGTCACTACACAGGTATATTCTGATGGAAGAGACTGATAGAAAGAGCCTTGTTTCTGTAAGAAATCAGGCTAAAGCTTATGCTAAGGGTCTGATTTAGCAAGCAAAAAAAAAAGTAAACATGGTCAAAGCAACTACTTCGGCTTGAATTCACAGTTTAAAATTAAATTGTATTACAATAAAATTAAATTATAAAAATTAATACATTGGCTTAATGATTTTGGTAGCACACAGCTGCAAGCAGTGAAATCCTGGCTTGATATCCATTTCTCAAATTACCTTTTAAAATGAAAATACTGTTTATCTGATCCTTATTTAACCTCATTTTTGTATTCTCCACTGATGAGCACAGTTCTTAAGAAAATGCAAATGCTGGACACTTCTTTTTCAGACACAGAAGTATTGTGTGTCAAATGTTGCTTTGCCGCTGTGGTGGCATGTGGTACAATGTAGGACGACAAGAAAACACTTGAGCCCTGGGTGAGCAGGGAACATAATGAGTGAGGACAACTCCTCTGGCTGTTTAATGGGCCGTGGGTATCCATTGACTCTCTTGTGTCATTTGGGGACAAAAAGGAAAAGGGAGCAAGTATTGAACTCCCTGGTGTGAATAACAACAGCTAAGGTTGTTCTCAGTTAGACAGTATAAAGCTGGATCTACCCTGGAATTCACCTGAATTTATGTTGGAAATGGACTGAGTACGTATTGGAAATAAAATCAACACTGATGTAAAATATTGCCATGCATCTTGTGTTACAAACTTTTATAAATTATATGAGATATTTAACTTCTTTTACAGTGAAATTTTCTGGAAACATTAGTTCTGACAAGAAGGAGGAAAAAAATAATATTTATGGAGAAAGAAAAAAGAATATATTGAAATTAACTTTGCTGAGTCAACTGATGGCCATGCTATCATTCCCTCGGGCCTCATTTATGTATAAAATGTAATGATTGTTTAATCTGATAGAAATGGAGAGACTACTCAAAAAGGGAAAATATGGGCATTTTTCATGTGCTTGAAGATCCCTCTAGTGGCTAAATTAAATATTTAAGCACGTTACTCATAATTCTCTCTACTAGTTCATGGTGTAAACTGAACTACAGTACAGGAGAAAATAAGCAAATATCAGTAATTTAAATTTGAAATGTCTTTCTACAATGTATTTTTCTAAATTTGATCATAAAACATCCTAGGTATGATCCAAAAACAGATGCTTGGACAACAGTGGCCCCCCTGAGTGTACCTCGGGATGCTGTTGGAATTTGTCCTCTGGGAGACAGATTATATGCTGTTGGCGGCTATGATGGCCATACGTACCTGGATACCGTGGAGTCCTACGATGCTCAGAACAACGAGTGGACAGAGGTAATAGGAAGAATTGCCTAATAAATAATCGGAATTCTTCCTGCAGATGGGAAGAATTCTGTCTGAATAACGGACAAACCAAAAAAGTTTATGTTGCTAAATTATCACTGGTTTTGTGAAAACCGATATATAAGGATACAGTAATACTGTAGCTTGTATAAAATATTGGTCGCCTCTCCTGTGAAATAACCGTATAAAATTTTTCAGACTAAAGGGTAGAGGCAGCACATGGGCAAGTGAACCAGCTTGCCCAAAGCATTTTGTGCTTGAAGTGCTGCACCATACTGTTGTTAGAGCTGGCAAGTACTTACCAGCCATACTCTCTGCTGGAGGCATGGCCACTTCAATAGTTCACATTTACGGCCGTCACCATTGAGACCAAGAAGTAATATTTAAAACTCAAGATCCTTTTGTAGCTACACAGTCCATGGTTTCGGAACATAAGATATGAAGGTCTTTTACAAAAGTTAAGAGCAAGGACACCAGCCTACACTCCTGTAACTCTCAGCATCTGCTAAAGCCTTATCCCTAAAAGCCGAAACTCTGTTTTTAGAGCCCTCGTTAAATCCAATTTTTTTAGAGTACATAAGTTTGAATAAACAAATTTCTTTCCTCTTAATATGCAAGTAATTTCTTCTATTCCTATCCATAGGAGTCTACTAAAAATGTTTCCTTCTTTTTCTTTTCCTTCTTTTTTAGGAAGTTCCCGTCAATATTGGAAGGGCTGGAGCATGTGTTGTTGTGGTGAAGTTGCCCTGAGGACCACAAATATTGTGAAACTAAACTGAATGGAGTTTCATGAAGGCTGAGTCAGGAAGATAAGAAATATTTCCAGAAAGCAGTACAGACTATACACATCTTAGCAGCCCGCCATTATAGAGAATACTTATCTCTGAGCCATTATAATATTAGAGCACAAAAGTGTCTTCCTGCATTCCAAAAATCAGACAATTTTGCATAAGTGAATTATTTTATTATAGCTAATGCATACAAATTCAACAATATGTTTAAAAGGTTCAGGTTTGTTACAAAAGTATCTGTTATTTATAAAATGCAGTAGTAAAGTGATAAACGGGTGTATAAGATTTCATAAACTTTTTTCTTGTCTATGTTCGCAGTAATGCTAATGTTTATAAAAAGAGCTTTTATATTTTAAGTACATGAAAATGAATAAGAGAAACACCTTCAACAGCGAACTGCACAGAAAGAAATATTTGCCCATAAATATCACTGGCAACAGGATATTCTCTGCAGAAGTAACTTCGTTTCTATATTCAGAAATTAAATTACTAAATTAACTTTAAAATCAAATCAGAGAAGCAGAGAATTTAGTTGCTATTCAACCTCCGGCATTGCTAGTACTGTGACAGAATAACCATTTTTAGCAGTATATTAAACTGAATAGTGCAAGTTAAGAAATAGTAGGGCTAAAGTATCTTTATGTTACTAAGTATGTGCCAACAGAAAGAAATCTCTTTGTCAAAACACAATGCTAATATAATTTCCAATCACTTTCACAGTGCATAGATATGTGATATTTTAATGCTGATCAGTGTGTCAGGTTATTCATGGACTTGTCTTTGCCCACTAACCATCTGTCAGTTTGCGTTAAACTAATTCAGCTATTCTTGGGATAATCACCATGCATTAAATTTTAAAACAATCAGATAATTACATTCCTTGAATATAACTAACAAAATGAAATTTTTATATCATATTGATATGACAATCTTTGACCTCAGCTGAAGATTACCAGCTTTCTCTCATGTACAGTAGAAATATGGTAAGAAAAAACCCATATCCACTGTGTAATGTTATATACCAATTATATAATAAGCATGTTTATGTTTTATTTGAAATTAAGGGAATGTAAAGAATCAAGAATAAACAGGAAAAGAATCACCTGAAAAGAGCACATAATATTCCACATGCATGATATTTTCTTTTTGTGTGCCAATTTCTAATGAAGGTTTTGATTTGTTTCACATTAATTTCTTTTTTTAATCATTTTAAATGCTGAAAGTGTATTTTAGAAAAAGAATGTATGTAAGATATTCTATGCTGTAAAGCACAATATTTGGACAGTATCTACTTTCGTGTTTGTTATGTTGTTGTTTTGTCAGTATCAGAAAATTCAGGACAGAGATGAAAATTCTCTGAACGTGTAGACTAACTTTCCTGATAGAATACTGTGTTTTCAGAATTCAGCAATATGCTATTTTAAAAAATTCATAGTAATAATCCTAATGAATGCTTCTAAAGATGCAATCTCATAAGCATATTTATAAAAGGAAAAACATTTTTAACTTTAAAGATCAGTTATGGTTATATATAGCATGCTACATTCAAATAAACTTTACTTTCTCTGCTAAGAAAATTTAGATTATATTTTAACAACTTTGTGGGTTTTATCCTACATCTTTTCAAGAATAGAAAACACAGAAGTATCAATCTCATTTCTGTACTCTAAAAGAAGAAAAGATCCTGTCTTAGTGTCCTTACTGCATCTGGTCCACATAAACTAAAATTTACCTTCCTTCTAGCACTTCTTCTTAGACAAAGTTCATCTTTTTTCATTCTTTGAGTCAAAAATAGTTACCAGCACTGTTATGTCAGGATGTCCTTTCTATGAAAGGGGCTCACACACCCCAGCCCTTGGCAACCTGAGTTGATTACCTGCAGAGGGCTGAAAGTACACTACATTTTAAGATGATTTCTTTTGCAGCCATTACATGAGGCTGCCCTACAATAGAAACTTAGCAGTGTATCAGCTTAGAACTACCTTCATTTTGTTGTGGATTTCTAGATCAACACACAAATCTCTTGCGAGCTTGGTGGGCCAGGAAAGAAGCTTTATTTCATTACTATTTTCCTTTTGTATCTATTTTTGTGGAGGGGAAAAAAAACCCCAAACAACAAACCCACTAAAAAACCCTACTGACACAGAACAAAATGAAGAGCCAAGCAAATAGGGAACAAACCCTACACCAGCGAGTGGGTCACAGGCCCACACAGAGGAAGATTCACATCAGAGGAAGAAGGTATTTTTATTTCCCACCAAATCAATAATCTGAAGCAAATGCAAGAGGGCTAACCACCAAGCTTGACAGTGCATCTGCACAGTAAGACATTTGTGAATGTGAGGTAGATGATAATTTTATCTTTCTCTCTCTCCCCTGTCCTATAGGGAACCTGTCTGACCACCTACCTAGAACATCTTTTTGCAGCAAATGTTAACTTTTAAACATTAATAATAAAAATACCAACATTTTTGCCCTATTCATTGCCTTTCCTGCTTTGGTCATGCAACAGCCATGTGCACTCTTTTATATAATAAATAAAGATTTGTGTAGATCAGAGGGAGACGGTCACTACTGCTTATCACTCAGGCTCTAAAATCATGCTTTTCTCATGCTCTCCTGTAACAGCACATTACTGTTCCCAGTAACCAGTACAACCTCATTTATTCTGCTCTTGTTTGGAAAGCACTGCTATTGAATGCCCATTTTTAAAGCTCTGAAATACATATTATACAAACAATGTGCAAATAATGTCAAGATATGTGCAAGAGGCACATCAGAAGAGACACCGATAAACTGCCAATACCAACGGGTCTTTCTCATCGAGCCTTTGCATGGAATTTGAAGTTTGCTTCGGGTACAAATAAGCACGCAGCCTCAAGTGAGAAAAAGCAGGCACGGGTCCTAGGCTAGTAGAGCAGTTTACGAAATATAAAGCCATATCTAAAAACCTAATCAAGCCTACAGTAAGGAAAGGAAATGAAGACTTGAGCACAGAAGAGGTCAGTTTTGAAGAACAGAAATGGTGGGTGAGTACCTTAATGCAAACACACAAGACTGGCCTTTGATTGCTGCTTGGCTTGCAAATGTTATAACTGCAGAGATGACACAGAATTCTCCTGTCTTTGTCCCCTCCTTCAGCTCGCAAATTTTATTAAATGCTTTATCAGTAAACAAGAACTTAGGAAAAACACCTAGATATAAATAATCCCCCTAAGCGTATCTTTAAACATACTGCCATTTCCATAGTTTAAGAAAGTCTCAAAAAGAATATTAGAAGAAAATTACACTTTCTGTATTTCTTTACTGTTCTCTAAAGAAATTGTGTCATGAGGTTTGCTTATTTAAAAAAATACCATAAGAAAAAAAAAATTTGTAGCATTCTTTTAGCTTGCAGCATGCAGCCACATTTATCAGTTTGATCAGTAGCTCTTCCTACCATGAACCACAACCACTGAGGCAGAGTATGTGAATATTTGCACGTATGTGTAATGTGATGAGATAGTCTACTAATTTCTATGGCCAGGCTGTGGTAACTAGTACACTTTCTAAATTTTAAGTTTAAGGCTGTATCTTGTTACAGAAACAACACAAAGACAAATACAAGTAAAGGTAAATGGGAAAAGATGGGAAGGGTGTGAAGCAGAGAAAAGTCAGAGAGCAATCTGCATGCAAGCTTATAAATTAAAGCAGTCAGCTTGGGGAAGAATGGATTGAAAAACCACATGTGGAGAACTAATTCTGCATGTCCCTCTCCTTGAGTGAAAACTCAAGCTTCAATCTCTACCTGAAGAGGTGGTGTTAAGAGATCTGCTATTAAGGTGCCATGGAAAGCAGAAGTGATCAAGTATCTGTTTCTTTACACGGTACTTTTATGTGCAACTGTACAGCTGGGAATCAGATTGTGCACAAGCTGCCAACCCTGTTTGGAGCTATTGATATGAAAGTTCATTTCAACTTCTAAAGAATAAGAACAATATTAGACACTCACATCCTGAATTAATTTCAAAATAATCTATTTTAGGATGAAATGATGACAAAAATTATCATGAGTTTAAAATCTTAAGTGCTAGAAAACAGAAAAATAAAATTTGAGCAGATATTGAATTTAAGCAACAAAATGGCACAACTGAATTTTCTAAAGAAAGCAGTTCCTCGGTGGTTTTAGTACTAAAGTTTGTTTTAGGTTTTTTTTTTTCTTTCATATTATTTGTACAGCAGTGAAAAATCATGTGAAAGGAAACTAGCAATTCACAAAAGGAAATTGGACACCTAACAGGAAGATAGAAGAAAAGCAAACTGGAGAGAATTTGGAGAAGTTCAGACATTATTAGGTGAGAGGAAATGCTAGAGAGGTTCTCTGATGAGGTGTCATCCCTTCACATTTCCTCTGTTTCTCCAAACATGAGTAGGTGCAATAGTTATGTAGCATCTTTGCTTTTTAGGTACCCTGACAGCTGCACACACAGCTGGCTGGCTTGCAAAGCGTGGGAGGGAGCCATCCTTTCCCACCTCGTACTGTTCTGTGTTTTTTATCTTGACTCTCACTGATAGAATGATTATCGTGTTATTTCTTTTTTTCCCAAATCATTGTGCTTGTTTTCTTTTTAAGCACTGGCCCTTAAAGCACCTTTTTGCTCATTGGACTGGCTGATAAGCTCTACATGAACTGGACCAGCAATGATATTTTATATAATGTAATGAATGGGAAGCACGGATACCGCTTACCCCATGAAATCAATTCTGGGAAAGACTGAAGGTTCAGCTTAACCACTATCATGTCTCTCTCTACCAGTAGGAGATATTTAGGCAAAGAGCATAAGAACCAACTAGCCCAGAAAAATCCCTTCTATTACTTTAGCAATGTTACTTTCAGTAACGTAACTGCATTACTGGAGCATTCATCTTCATAACACATCTATAAGGTAGGAAAGCGGTACTACGGCTATTTACAACTCT